GTTCACTATAAATATTTTTTACACTTCTGGCATAGCTAATTTTCTTTTAAACACATTAAAACCAGAGCCTAGTGACGAGAGAATAAACAGTGCGACACAGAATGAAGAGAATCGAATAAATTAATGCAGATATTTCATAGATATGACCGCGTACTCAATTAAAATAGTATGCAGATGATCGAACGTACAATAAAGCACACTACGTTCGCTGACGGACAGTCTTATTTAAATCATATAAATCACAGAGACTCTTCGTTCTACCTTGAATAGATTTCCTTCTCGTTGAAATGTGCACTCGCGTGAGACTGTTTTGAACAACAAAAATCGACTGAGCAGTAGGTTATCAGTCGGCCTCCTACGTGGTCTTCTCTGTGACGTTTCGTTCAAGAACTCGTATAAAAGCGAACGGAACAATCTGTCGGCCCCACCACATCTTCGTGTTTGCCGAGTACGTTCTCTCGCAATGCAACGATGCGTTCGAATATTGTCATGTTTCTGTGTGCGTGAATTGTTCCATACTGAATGAACTGTTTGCTCGCCTCAGAAATAATATTTCACAGCTCGCAGATTTTTTAATACAATTTTTATTTATTTTTAATTACAATTATTTACTATTCGAAGCAACTTTTATAATACTGTGATCCTATTTTTATCAATCAATAAACTTTGTACAGCTTTTAAAAAATTGTTTCACTGTAGGAAGCGAATGAAAAACGTCTACTTAATGGGTTGTAAAAACGATGTTCATTATTCTATACTTAGGAGAGTTTTATATTCAGTGTACGTCGGATCAGCCTCGGGATTACTTGCGATTACAATTGCTGATTGAAACATGCGTGCTTTGTAGAGACAGTAGTTGGAATGTTGTTAGGATAGTAGAATTATGAATTTATTATACAATTGTTATTAAGAATTTTCATAGTTTCTTAAAGAAATTCGACTCCTGTAAGTTATTGATTTTTTTATGAAAATTTATTGAAGGATTTCATACAATTATTCATACAATTATTAAGAAGTTTTTACATTCTATTAAACGAATTTCAGAAAAAGGAATTAGACCACTTGTAAGCTATTGATTTTTTATGAAAATTTATTAAAAGATTTTATACAATTATTCATACAATTCATACAATTATTAAGAATTTTGTTATATTCTATTAAACAGATTTCAGGAAAAGAAATTCGATTACCTGTAAGCTATTCGATTCGATGGTATATCAGAA